ACAGACAGGTAGAGCGAGACAGGTCAACACAGCTACCGGCACACCTGGGAGACAGACAGACAGACAGACAGACAGGTTCTCACCATGTGGATGAAATCCAAAGATGTAGTTTTTCTTTGGATCCAAATCGACAGATTTAATGAGCTGGAGACAAAAAAATCATAATTAATAATAATTAATAATCAATAATTTGTAAATAATAATTATATATATATATATATATATATATATATATATACTCACCGTCAGAGGGAAGTAGTCCCTGAAGAACTCCCAGATGCCCCAGCTTCTGACCCACTGTGACCTGCGACCTCCACAGGTGGGCGTGTCCCAGTCCAGCCACAGCCAACCAGCATACAGCAGGGCCACGATCCACCAATCAGAGAGAGCCAAGAGCACGAAGGCAGCTAGACAGCACTGAGCTGAGAGACAGACAAGCGGTCAGACAGACAGCACTGAGCTGAGAGACAGACAGGCAGTCAGACAGACAGCACTGAGCTGAGAGACAGACAGGCAGTCAGACAGACAGCACTGAGCTGAGAGACAGACAGGCGGTCAGACAGACAGCACTGAGCTGAGAGACAGACAGACGGTCAGACAGACAGCCTATTGATTATACATTTTAGTCTAAACCTTATTTTGAAAACAGGAAGTAGTCCCACTGAATCCTTCTACTAGCTGTTTGACTGAGTTTACCCTAAATGTCAGAATACAGGAGCACTACATGTTACGAGATGTGAGTCACAGTCTAACGGAAGAGACGACAGGAGGCCTTCAGTGATGAAGATGAGCTGAACTTTATAAACTGCAGGTCATGTGACGAGGAAGAACCAATCACAGACCTCTTTTCTTTCTGCCTCTAGCATCAGTCTACAGTAACTACATGGAGGAGTTCAGATCACTTCCTGTTTCAATGGCGGTAGATGTGGTTAGAACCATCGACTATAACAAGAGGACGTCGCCATCTTGGTTTTTTTTTTGCAACCAGTAAACAGGAAGTGACCATATCTGGACTGAGGAGTGATGTAGAGACCCGTCAATCACCGTGTAGCCCTGCCCTAAAGCATCCCCTGCTTTATGGTCTGTTAGAGACCTGTCAATCACCGTGTAGCCCCGCCCTAAAGCATCCCCTGCTTTATGGTCTGTTAGAGACCTGTCAATCACCGTGTAGCCCCGCCCTAAAGCATCCCCTGCTTTATGGTCGGTTTGACTCTAAATGGACCATAATGTACTAAATGAACATCATGCTGTATTGAAGAAGACTTGAAACTAGAGATTGAGACCATAAACTCATGTTTCAATGTTTACTGAGGTAATAAATCAAGAGAGAAGTAGTCGTTTTCTCATAGACTTCTATACAACCAGAGGAGTCGCCCCCTGGTGGACACTAGAGAGAATGCAGCTTTAACACATGAAGCAGAGTGGAATCATTATGCTAATAGTGTTATTGAGCGACAGACGGGAGGTCAGACAGACAGGTTCACGTTACCTAGAGCCAGGAAGGAGAAGACCCACTGCAGCGTCGCAGCGGTCTGCAGCCTCCTCCGCACCGGGACGTTCAGCGGGGCGAACTCCAACTTCATGCCGGCGATGAGGCTCCTCGGGCCGGCGTGGAGCGCTGCGACCTCCCGGTGTCTCTACCTGGATGTCAGGGTTTCTCTGCCTGCCTGTCTGCCTGCCTGTCCGGCCGTTGGTCTGTCTGTCCGTTGAGGGGTCCTCTAGCACATAAACGTTTCTAATATTTTCTTCAGTCGGACTCTAAACTAAACTACACAACTTTACAAACACGCTCCCCCTCCCTCCGCTACTGCGCATGCGTACCGGACCCTACCGTCTGGGTGGAATCCTCGGCCAATCAGAGCTCATGGCGAAACCTTGTCGGGAGCGAGCCTGGAGTCCGGCGCGTGCACGGACATGGACACGAGGAGATGACGTTAAAGTAAATAAAGTGTTTTAAATATAAAATCAGATCCTGATCATATTATATTTATTTTAAATGTATAATATGTGATATAATATAATATAATATATAATATATATAATATGAATCATTCATGATAACTCAGTCACGTGACCTTTCAGAGTTTCAACATATTTCTAAATTTGTGAAGTTGTGAAATTTATCAGAATGTTGAAAACTTTCTGTGTGAAGAGTCGAAAGAGTTACATCAGTGTTAAGGGTCAGTGAAACAGAAGAGGATTTAATTATATATATATATATATATATATATATATACAGTTGTGTGAAAAAGTGTTAGGCCCCTTCCTGATTTCTTATTTTTTTGCATGTTTGTCACACTTAAATGTTTCAGATCATCAAACAAATTTAAATATTAGACAAAGATATCACAAGTAAACACAAAATGCAGTTTTTAAATGAAGGTTTTTATTATTAAGGGGGAAAAAAAATCCAAACCTACATGGCCCTGTGTGAAAAAGTGATTGCCCCCTAAACCTAATAACTGGTTGGGCCACCCTTAGCAGCAATAACTGCAATCAAGCATTTGCGATAACTGGCAATGAGTCTTTTACAGCGCTGTAGAGGAATTTTGGCCCACTCATCTTTGCGGAATTGTTGTAATTCAGCCACATTGGAGGGTTTTCGAGCATGAACCGCCTTTTTAAGGTCATGCCACAGCATCTCAATCGGATTCAGGTCGGGACTTTGACTAGGCCACTCCAAAGTCTTCATTTTGTTTTTCTTAAGCCATTCAGAGGTGGACTTGCTGGTGTGTTTTGGATCATTGTCCTGCTGCAGAACCCAAGTGCGCTTCAGCTTGAGGTCACGAACAGATGGCCGGACATTCTCCTTCAGGATTTGTTGGTAGACAGCAGAATTCATGGTTCCATTTACCACAGCAAGTCTTCCAGGTCCTGAAGCAGCAAAACAGCCCCAGACCATCACACTACCACCACCATATTTTACTGTTGGTATGATGTTCCTTTTCTGAAATGCCGTGTTACTTTCACGCCAGATGTAATGGGACATACACCTTCCAAAAAGTTCAACTTTTGTCTCGTCAGTCCACAGAGTATTTTCCCAAAAGTCTTGGGGATCATCAAGATGTTTTCTGGCAAAACTGAGACGAGCCTTTATGTTCTTTTTGCTCAGCAGTGGTTTTCGTCTTGGACCTCTGCCATGCAGGCCATTTTTGCCCAGTCTCTTTCTTATGGTGGCGTCATGAACACTGACCTTAATTGAGGCAAGTGAGGCCTGCAGTTCTTTGAATGTTGTTCTGGGGTCTTTTGTGACCTCTTGGATGAGTCGTCGCTGCGCTCTTGGGGTAATTTTGGTCGGCTGGCCACTCCTGGGAAGGTTCACCACTGTTCCATGTTTTCGCCATTTGTGGATAATGGCTCTCACTGTGGTTCGCTGGAGTCCCAAAGCTTTAGAAATGGCTTTGTAACCTTTTCCAGACTGATAGATCTCAATTACTTTGTTTCTCATTTGTTCCGGAATTTCTTTGGATCGCAGCATGATGTCTAGCTTTTGAGGATCTTTTGGTCTACCTCACTTTGTCAGGCAGGTCCTATTTAAGTGATTTCTTGATTGAGAACAGGTGTGGCAGTAATCAGGCCTGTGTGTGGCTAGAGAAATTGAACTCAGCTTTCCAAAGATGTGATAAACCACAGTTAATTTATGTTTTAACAGGGGGGGGGGCAATCACTTTTTCACACAACTGTATATATATATATATATATATATATATATATATATATATATATATATAAACACTCATCTGAACAACATGCGACACAAAGCAGCGACTCCTCGGATCAAACTGAAGGTTCAGGTTCACATGAATCTCTAGAAGAACGAGGAATACATGATGTATAAATACATATATATTATGTGTTCTATTTATAGAATGTGTTCATCAGCGTATTCACTGAATAATTAGAATTCATACTACGTATGAATACATCAGAGTTTATTAGCTCACGAGGGATCTGTGAAAACTAATAATGGGAAATAAATGTAGTGAAGTTTAAACTACAATGTTTCCTCAGATGTAGAAGTATAAAATGTAAATACTCAAGTAAAGTAGAAGTACCTTGAGTACTGAAGTACAGTCTAAATGAGCTCAAAGTTCTCCAGACTGATGCATTGAACTTTAAAATGTTGTACATTTTACTCTGGGGGGCACGAGGACCACGAGGACCTCCTCGAGGTCCCGGGTCTTACAAAGGTCCTGTGGACAACACGGCCTATTTTATTTTGTACAGGAAGTTGAGGGGCTTCAGGAGGCCTCGTGCTTCCTCATCGGTAGTGGACCCTTGTGGGTCCGTCCATTAGAAGTGGACCAGTCCAGAGTGCGGATTGGCCGGCAGTCCTGGGGCCGCCTCCTGGATCAGGTTCCAGCCCAGTTGCCTGCTGATTGAGTAGTGCTGGACCAAAGACTCGTCGGCCCAGTTGGTCCTGGACAGCAGCTGGTCCACGTGAGGCCCCAAGGTCCTGTGTGGAAGAGAGTATGGACTAATAGTGGGGTCCCGCTCCAGCAGTGACGATCCAGAGCCTTGATGTGGCCCATCAGGTCCATAAGGTGGACCCGTCAGTATAGAAGGGTCCCGGTCCAGGGCGGTCTGCAGGCCCTGGGTCTGCTCGCCCAGCTGGTACAGCTGTTTTTTATGGACCTGAATGTGGTCCTGGTGGTCTAGTCTAGCATGGCACAGCTGCTTTTTGTGAATCTGTAGCTGGTCTTGCTGGTCCATCTGGGCCTGGTACTGCTGTTTCTTCTGGTTTTGAATGTTGTCCTGGTCTTGGTGGTCCATCTGGGCCTGGTACTGCCGTTTCTTCTGGTTGTGGTCCTTGCCCTGTTGGTCCGTTTGGGCCTGGTACTGTTGCTGCTTCTTTTGGTTCTGGATCTGGTCTTGCTGTTCCTGGTTCTCCTGATGGTCCATCTGGGCATGGAACTGCTGCTTCTTTTGGCTCTGGATCTGGTTGTGCACCTGGTTCTTAATGTCTTTCCAGTGTCGCCCTCTGAGGACCGGCTCCAGGTCCAGACAGCGCTGACAGACCTCCTTCCCCGGTACTGACTGGACCAGCACGTGGACTCCCAACTGTCTCCAGACCGCCTCCTTCTCTGCAGAAGACCACGGGCGTCGTCGGACCTTACCAGGAGCCACAGGGACTGAAAGACATAAAGGTGGTGAGACAAAGGGGGGTCTGAACATAAATCAGTGACAGATTTGTGTTCAGCTGAATCCAGGTGGACCCACCTGTAGTCTGCAGCCTGGACTCTGGTGGACTCATGGAGGTCACCGGTCTGTTACTGCTCTGAGATGAAACTACAGGTAGAGAGACAGACCAGGTCAAAAAGCTCCATCTAGTGGACACCTAGAGTCAACATGTACTCTGATGAGGGGTCGTCATCTATGTCCAGCTTTAGGGTTCAGGATCAGGATCAGGACTCACCCTCTGGTCTGGGGTCAGACTGCTCTTTACACTTCCCACCTCTTGATTGGACCGATCGTTTCTTCAGCTTGGCTCCGACTGCAGCGGCTAGAACAAGTCACAAAGATCTTCAATGGTTCGATATAGAACCTGAACCCCAACAGAGAGTCTCGGGTCAAACTCTCAGACAAAGCTGAAGGACTAGTAACCAGACCAGCCCCCCGGTGTTACCTGTGTTAGGGTCCGGGTTCAGCAGACACAGGTTGTCCCATTCTCTCCCCAGCAGGTGGTAGAAGTCCGTGGTCTTGGCTGCAGCCTCCCAGTCTCCGTCCTGCAGACTTTCTCCGATTGCAATCTCACAAACCGTCTTCAACGTGGTCTTCACCGCCAGCGGAGGGCGGCTCCACCGGTACCCGGAGGCCTTTCTGGCGGCGGCCAAAGACAGACTGAGGCAACCCGGAGCCAGAAGGTCCTGCAGGTTCTGGACGCCGGAGTCCAGAGATTTAGCAGCCAGAAGGAACCGGCCGAGCTCCCTCAGCTTCTGGCTCACATAGTCGTACCTCCTCTGGCTGCCATCTTGGTTCCCCATCAACTTGTTTCCGTATTTACAGATCAACCAATCAGATTTGACCTGAACAGAGCAAGGAACAGCGGGGGGTCAACACAGAGACAGGTAGGGAGACAGACAGACCGGCAGATAGACAGGTTGACAGGTGTACAGACCTGGTGTGAGACGTGGTCCTGGTTCATGCGGTGCAGGACTTCGCTGCAGCTCTCAGACGCTCCGCTGGATATTGGAAGGAGGCGAGATGCTGCAGCCTGGACCCTGATCCTCTTCCTGGGCTGGTCCGCTCCCGGGTCAGAGGTCACAGTTTGATCCATAACGGGGTCAGAGGTCATGGGCCGCTTGGCCTGGTCCGTCGTGTCTCCTGAGGGGTCAGAAGGCCGTGAAGGTGTATCCTCTGAGGACTTGACGGTCCCGTCGGCTGCTGGATCGCAGGCCTACTTACCTGTGGGGTCAGAGGTCGTGTCCTTCACGAGGTAAGAGGTTGTGCCCTTCACGGGGTCAGAGGTCGTGGAGGCGGAGTCTTTGGAGGGGTCAAAGGTCAGCTTCTTACGACAGGACGCTTGATGTTTCCAGAGATCAGCACGAAGAAAGAAACCGAGGCAGAGCGGACAGGGAAGGTAGTTCCTCGCATCGACGTCCTCTGAGGGCTGACGCCACGGCACGATCTCTCCACTGCCCTGTCTGATCACCTGAGGGACAGGCAGGTACACAGACAGGTGGTCAGACAGACAGGTTAGCAGGCAGGTTAGCAGGCAGACAGGTAGACAGACAGGTGTTCAGACAGACAGGTTAGCAGGCAGACAGGTAGACAGACAGGTGAACGAACCTCTATGTTGTGCATGTAGTTGCCTCTGCTGCGTAGTTGCTCCAGCAGCAGGTGTCGTTGTTTGGAGCCGGTCGGTAGTTTGCTGGCGGACTCTACTTCCTGTTGGTCGGCGTGTTTGGTGAGCAGGTGACGAGCGATCTTCACCTGAGGACGCCGACAGAACACGCAGTAATGTTTCTTATCCCAACGCCGCTTCCCATCGCTGCTCGTCCTCTTCACCGTCACGCCCTCCTTCTTCTCCTCCTGGCCGCGCCTCTTCTCCTCCTGGCCCCGCCTCTTCTCCTTCTGGCCCCGCCTCTTATCTCCGGGACACCGCCGTTTCTCTGCAGGGCCCCGCCTCTTCACCCTCTGGCCCTGCCTCCCTATGACCGCGGCCCGACGGCGCAGCCGGCAAGCGGCCGGCTTTGAGGGTTCATCCTCAGGAGACAACGTCTGGTCTGAGGAGTGGAGCTCCGTCTTGTTCGCCATGGCAACCTCAGAGTGGTCTCCACGGTAACAGAGCCCTGACGATCAAACATACAGGTGAACATCAACAGGTGAGATCAGGTCTAACCTCTTTAAGGTTATTCATAACTTTTTCATTCATTTTCAAGAAGCTCCAATCTGTTATTAGGAGGAGACCTCTAGTCTCTATTATCGCGCGATAACAACTATACGTGCTTATTATCGCGCGATAAC